CCTTTCCTGTGCCATCACGGTAGACGTCCATGAATGCCATCGAAGCCCCATCGGAGGTAGCCCCAGGAGAATCTCACCTTGACTTCTTCTTAATCTGGACCCTCTACCTTCCAGGCACTGACATATATCAGACGCAGAAAACCTGCAGGCCTGGAAAAGGGGAGCCAGGCCAATGCCGAGACAAGAGCTCCTACAAATGTCTGATTGTGTTCACGCCTATTGAAGCCCATCCGTGCTCTTGACATGGCTGAAAACACAGCCAGCCGGCAGGACAGAAAGATCCTCAATGACAAACCAAAACACAAGGTACCGACAGGAGAGATTTAACTCCTACGGTCATGGTCACGTTTGGATTTACAAAGTGTTAGCGAACAAGGTAAACCAAGACATGCATCTGCCCCGCTTCTGGGCGGCCCGGGTTTGCTGTGGAACCTCACGCTGGAACTATGACTAGGAGGGCCTCCTGGACGAAGAATGATATCATCTTAGGGGAGACGGGAGACTCTCGGCAAAACCAGGCACGTCCAGGGAAAGGTGTTTGCGGCAGGCAGAGCCCTGAATTGACTGCAGAGGGGAGGGCGTGAGCTGACCAAAGCGGAGAAGAAAGATGCGAAGTCACTAAATTATGCATGGCAGTCCTCACCGAGCAGACGAAGGAGAGCTTAATGATGTGGCTGAAGCACCGCGGCAACGCGTGATGTATGGGCTGGAGCTGGGGAGGGGAGAAATGAATCTAGGAAGACTCAGACACTCGTGACGGTGACAAAGGCCAAGCCGTGGATGTGGGAGTGGGGGAGGGAGAGGGGGAGGGGACACGGGTGCTGGGCGTATCATACATTCCCGTGACAAGACAGCCAAGTAAAGTTAACTTGACATTAAACAGCATCATCTTAATCTATTGTATGTCACTCTTTCAAGCCCGGGTCTTATCAGGGAAAGAGAAAAAAAAAAGTCTACAGTGAGCAATGAAGCATTTCCCCCCCCCCCCTGCTTTCCCGGCATCCGCCAAATGCGGGGCCTAATTTAATTATGGGACCCACCGGCCAGACCCTGGAGATGAAGAAGGATGTGTCTGAGCGGTGAGAAATGAGACAGAGCCAGCTGCTCCTTCTCATCGCTCTTCCTCCGCTCGGCCAAATTAATACGGCTAACAAGCTTTTGTTTGGATTAGTGGCTCAGGTCTGGGGTGTGCCCGTCAGAACCGTGGCTGTTCGAGTCGCTATTATTTACGGAGCGTCTGCCGTCTCCTCCAGCCCCGCGTGGGGCTCTGCCAGGCTCTGCGCCGGAGCCCAAGCGCCCACCAGACTTAGGAGCTCAGCGTGGGGCGGGAGAATGTGGTGGGAGGACGTCAGGGGTGGAGGCTCGGGGCATAGGATTTCAGGAATACCACAGGGGGCCTTTCTCTTTGACCTGGGCCACGCTGTTCTGATCTTTAAAACAATGGTTAACACCGAAAAAGCGCGCTCAGCTGACTCTGCTGTGTTTATTGATTCAGGAATGAGGTTCCCCCGGACAGTCAGGGGGTGCGGGGCCCCGGAAATCTCGGAATCGCAGGGCTGGGAGGAAAAACAGTCTTCTTCAGGCTCTCATGTGGCAGATGACGCGGCCGAGGCTTACCAAGGGTTGGGGGTGCAGGTCTGGGCCTGAAAGCCCGACGCCACCGGAGCCGGCGAGGGAGGTCACAGGGCCCCGGGGTTCGAGCTCAGCGCCACGGCCCGCTGTGCCAGGAAGACTTTATTCTGCGTCTCCTGAGATGAAGGGCGGAGAGAGGGAAGAGGTGAGACGGAGCCTCTCCCCCGTGTCCCCGAGGTACGTTCCCCGGGGCCCCTTTTCCCAGGCGCCCGGCCTGGCTCACCTTCTCTATCTGCTGTTTGAGCTCCTAGATGAGGCATCCGTACGAGTTAGCCAGGGCCAGGGTATACGCCATCAGGATGCTAGAGGGGACAAGAGTAAAAACCACCCCCTAAAGACTCGCGGGAGAGCTTCAATGTCTGGATCCCCTCCTCCCCTTCCTTCAAACCGGGATTGGTGGCTCCATCCCCTCCCTCCTCCCTCATTCAGGGGTTTAGGTCCCCCCCCCCCCCAACCCCCTCTTCCCTTGGACGCAGGCGGCGGGCCGCCAGGTCGCACACATTCCAGCTTAAAACCAAGAGCCGGGGCCCCTCGCCTGGAGACCAGCAGGAGGGGCACAGCAAAAGCCTGGGTCCCCAGGAAGAAGAGGAAGTCCTGGGTGCCCTGAGGGAGTTTGCCCAGATGAACCGCTGCTCCCGGAATGGACCACACAGCTGCGAGGGCGGGATCCTGAAGCCAGGGAGACCGGACGAGAGTTCCGGGAGGGCCGAGAAGTGGGGATCCCGGCGAGGGCCGCTCGCACTTCCAGGAAGATGCTGTTCAGCACCGGGATGGCGGAGGCGGCCAGCCCCAGGAGGAGCACCCTGGGGAAAAAGAAGTTCGCCGTGGAGGCCCGGAAGGTGCGGGAGGCCGGCGAGCAGTTGGAGAAGAGGGTAGAAGAGCAGCAGGAACTTGGCTGAGTTGAGCAGGGGCAGGAGCGGGCAGAAAAAACTGCCCACCCAGACCACCGTCTGCGCGCAGATGAGCCCCAGCACCTCGTCGGGCACCTGGAATTCCTGGGTCCCCAAGCGCCCCAGCACCCCGGGACAGAGGCCGCAGAGCAGCGTGCGGGGCGGGGCGGGGCGGGGCCAGGGGCGTGCCAGCCAGGGGTTTCCCCGCCCCCACCGTTATGCCCACCAATCAGAAGTGAGCCTGTCTGAGGGGCGGCGCTGTCAAGGTCCTGGAGGGGTGTGTCCAGGGGGCGTGGCCAATGGGGAGTAACCGACACGCGGGAGGGGCGGGGTCTTTGGAGTCAGCAAAGAGGGAGCAGTCGGAGGCGGGACTAGGAGAAGGGCGTGGCGAGGAGGGAGGACCCGGGGGCGGGGCCAGAGGGGGGTCTCACTTCCGAGGGAACTGGATGAGGAGCATGACAGCCAGGCCAGTCAGCAGATCAAAAAGAAGAAGTCTGGCCGAAACCGGTTTGGCTCAGTGGATAGAGCCTCAGCCTGCAGACTGAAGGGTCCCGGGTTCGATTCTGGTCAAGGGCATGGACCTTGGTTGCGGGCATATCCCCAGTAGGGAGTGTGCAGGAGGCAGCTGATCAATGTTTCTCTCTCACTGATGTTTCTAACTCTCTATCCCTCTCTCTTCCTGTCTGTAAAAAATCAATAAAATATATCAAAATACATATCTATCTATCTATCTATCTATCTATCTAAACAACTGTTAACAACACAAGCACCATGCCACAGCCGGCACGGTGCCCGAGGAATACCAGGAGGGGGGTGTGGACAGTGGCGGGGTTGGAGGGGGCGCAGGCCTTAACGCACATCTCACATCTCAAGCTCTCCCACCACATTTGAGCAGCAGCAGCAAACTGGCCAGGCAGCGCACACTGCAAAAGCAGCTTCGAGACCTTTGCACCTGGAGGTGTCCGCACCTGCAGGCCTCGGGCCCCACCTGGTCCCGGACAGCCCGCCCCGCGTAACACTGTGAAGCTGCGTGGTCAGCATTCCCAGGAGGACAGGCAGGGCGCGGCCCGCGGGGTGTGTGTGTGTGTGTGTGTGGGGGGGGTGAGTGGAGGGGGTCAAACCAGGCCTCCACACTTCCTGCGGCCCCCCCCCCCCTGTTCACTGCACTAGCCTTTTCCATGCCCTTTATCCACCTATTGCACATAATCACAGCGAGTTTTTTTTTTTTTTAAATATATATTGAATTCTTACAGAGAGGAAGGGAGAGCGATAGAGAGCTAGAAACATCGATGAGAGAGAGTCATTGATCAGCTGCCTGCACACCCCCTACCGGGGATGTGCCCGCAACCAAGGTACATGCCCTTGACCGGAATCGAACCCGGGACCCTTCAGTCCCCAAGCCGACGCTCTATCCACTGAGCCACACCGGTTCCGGCAGTCACAGCGAGTTTTAAGGAGATGACGGTAGATTCAGGGGTGTGTGTGGAGCGGGGCGGGGGTGGGGGTGGTGGCGGGGAACCTCACCACCAACAAGGACCTCAGTGCAGGGACCTGAGAAACGCCGGACCGAGAAGCCAGGTCCCCGGAGCGGCGCCAGCAGCGCCTCCCGGGCCGCCCGGGCCCAGCGCGCGGCTCCGGACCGGGCCCCGGGGAGGCGGGGCGAGCGCGCCCGGGTCCGGGGCCGCCGCCTCCAGCGCGGAGTCAGGGGCGACGCCAACGGGGGTCCCCGCCCTCACCCGCCCAGGTCAGCCCAGGGCGGAACGGGCCCGCGAGCCGGAAGCGGAGGGGACCCCGGGCGCGCGGCTGCCCGGCCGCACCTTCCGGCCACGCGGCGCCGCCTCCTCCTCTTCCTCCCGGCGCGGGTGAGCGGGAGGCCCCGCGGGGCCGGGGACCGGCCGGCGCGCACATGGCGCAGCGGGGCGCGGGGCGCGGGGCTGGGGGCGGGGGGCGCGGGGCGCGGGGCGCGGGGCGCGGGGCGCGGGGCGGGGGACGGGGGGCGCGGGGCGCGGGGCGCGGGGCGGGGGACGGGGGGCGCGGGGCGCGGGGCGCGGGGCTGGGGGCGGGGGGCGCGGGGCGCGGGGCGGGGGACGGGGGGCGCGGGGCGGGGGACGGGGGGCGCGGGGCGCGGGGAGGGGGGCGCGGGGCGGGGGGCGCGGGGCCCGGGGCGCGGGACTCCGCAGGCGGACGCGGTGGGAGCGCGTGGTCGCCGGTGGATTCCAGGGGGGGAGGGGCTTGCGTCCCCGGAGGAGCTGTCCCTCCTCTTCCTGCCGCGGGTGTGGGGCCCTCTGAGCACCCGGCCCGGCAGAGCGCCCCCCCCAGGGGGTGCAGAGCGTTTCTGGCCTCTCCTCCCGCTCCCCCTCCTCCCGCTCCCCCTCCTCTTGCTCCCCCTCCTGGGCTGCGGTTGCAGGCGCCTCCCTGGCGCCCTCCAGCAGGGAGGGGCCAGCCCTGGAGCCTGTCCGGCCTGGCTGGCTGTGAGAGGGGTCACAGCACATGGGTAGCATCACCCCTGGGTGACCAGCATCACCCCTGGGTGACCCTGGTGCCCAGACGGCCTGTTCAGGGCATCTCCGTCCCTGCTGCCTTCCTGCAGCCTCGCTTTCTGTCTGGGCTTTCTGGAGGCTTCTCTGAGGCCCACCCAGTTCCTGTGCTGGCCTCCGTTCTTGTCCCGGAAAGGACCCTGGCCCTCTGGGCGGGAAGTGTCAGGGCCCTCTGCGCTGTAGAGGCTGTGCTGCTTGCCTGCCCACACGCCCACGTCACTAAAACCTGGACTGAGTGCTGGCAGGTGGCGCCTGTCAGAGTTGCTCCTTTGATGCGGTCCTCAGAGGCGATGGCTATTCCATGGGCGAATCTCAGGGGAACAGAGGATCTAGTTAAGGTCAGATCTAGTTAAGTGGGTATCTGTTGGAGTCCGCCTGGCATGGGCGATAATTCTGCGTGATTTGGGGCGTGTGGCCTCAGTTCTCGCAGGCTCTGAGACGGGGGGACTGCCTGCCTTCGTTAGGAAGGCAGCTGGGGTGAGGTGATGTGGAGCCTTTAACGGCATCTGAAATGTCTTCGGTGATCCACCAAGGTTCTCTCCCCACCCCTCCGCGGTCCTGGCCCCTTTGTGGAACCGAGGGGCGTGCGGGGTGAGGACAATTTGTAGGGCAGGCACTTGTGTTGACTTTTAAAAAGGCCATGACAAAGCAGTACATAGGTGTGCTCTTTGGGAATGGGAAGCTCTTGTGTGCCAAATGCAAACTTCTGAAATAGTAACTTAAATTTTTTTTTTAAACTGCTTCGATGGAGCAGTAAGTTGTTTTTTTTTTTTTAAATATATATATTTTATTGAATTTTTTTTTTTACAGAGAGGAAGAGAGAGGGACAGAGAGCCAGAAACATCAAGGAGAGAGAATCATCCATCAGCTGCCTCTTGTACACCTCCCCCCCCCCCCCCCCCGGGATGTACCCGCAACCAAGGTACGTGCCCTTGACCGGAATCGAACCCGGGACCTTTCAGTCTGCAGGCTGACGCTCTATCCACTGAGCCAAACTGGTTTCGGCATAACTTCATTTCTTCTTATTTTTTTTTTTCTTGAGACCAGAGAGACAGTTAGCGGGGAGGGCTGTCCACGTCCTGTGACTTCTGACTGGTCCGGGGCCGGCCGTGCCCAGTCGGAATGGGGTCGGGGTGGCCTGGAGGGCGGGTTCACCTGCTGATGTTCGGGGTGTTTTCCCTCTCAGACCCAGCATGAGCGACGTCCCCTGCAAGAAGCGCGAGGACTACCTGGAATGGCCCGAGTACTTCATGGCCGTGGCCTTCCTGTCGGCCCAGAGGAGCAAAGACCCCAACTCCCAGGTCAGGGGCGCTCCCAGGAGGGTGAGGGGCCTCGGTGACACGGGGAGGCCGCACTGAGCTCGATGCGAAGGCCATGCATCTTCCTGGGGGGGGGTCCGTGCCTCTCCCCCCGTCGGGGTGGGCAGGGCCTCTCTTCCTCCGGCTCCTGGGAGCCGCCCCGGACAGAAGCCAGGACCAGAGCTCCCAGCACCCGCTTTGGGAGCTCTCTGGCCTCTGGTCCCCCGGACCGCCCGCGCGTGGCAGACCGGCCGGGCAGTCGCCGGGCCTTGGGTAAGGTGACCAGGCGGAATGGGGTCGGCGTGGCCTGGAGGGCGGGTTTAACGTTGGTAAAGCGGGACACCATCGATGGAGGGGGGGTTCTTGATAAAAAATTTGGTCTATATGGAGCAACAAAAGTTTTCATAGAACGCAAAAATAGTATTGTAATATATTTTTTAAAAAAATTTCAACATAAGTACCATTTACAAGTATAATAAATAAAAAAATGATGTATAGTTGTAAGCGTCACTTTTAAGGCCGGCGCTGGACTTTTTGCCGCCACTATAAAATATAAGTAATACGAGTACTGTCTGCTAAATTCAAGAAAATTTATGTATTTATGAAATAAATAAATAAATTACTTACCTAAATTATCTGAATAGCTGATTTGTAATGACATCAGTTATCTCACTAGCTTACTGGCATGCAGTACGATGTGTATCGTCTGAGAGACAGTCACAAAATGTTTTCGTAGTTGCCAATCCCAAAAAATGCCATTGTTCATTAAGTCCAAACAATGGTGGTCGAATTCTAACCACCGGTCAACAATGCGAACTTTGATAAGCAGTTCTCGATAATCAATTCTCAACAATTATTTGTTATTATTAAAGTTTAACATTATAAAACTAACAAAAATAATATAAAACTTATATCCTGGCTAAATAGCCACATGGCCGCCGAAAACCGTCCATTCCCTTCCCGTTCTGCCGCCGTTCCCTGGCTTGTCATGCATTCTTTCCAAAAACTGGGACTTTTTTAAAAACGCCGAGGGACACGGGACAAATTGTTAGTAAGAACTGGGACGTCTGGTCACCTTGGCCTTGGGGCCTGTTCCGCTGCAGGTGGGCGCCTGCATCGTCAATGCGGAGAACAAGATCGTGGGCATCGGCTACAACGGGATGCCCAACGGCTGCAGCGACGACCTGCTGCCATGGCGGCGGACGGCCGAGCGGAAGCTGGACACCAAGTACCCGTACGGTAGGCCGCCGGCACCCCCTCGCCAGAGGGGGCCTCCCCTCCCGGTCCGCGGCGGCCGGAGAGAGAAAAAAGGCTTCTGGACGGGCCCAGTTCCTGTCCCCGCTGTGATCCCGCAGAGAACCCGGACCGGGGCAGCGTGGGGTGGCTCGCAGCCTGGGCCTGAGGGCCGGGGCTCTGCGCCCTGCGCGGGCCGGGCGCGTTTCCGTGGAGACCCGCCCGCTGGACCCGACAGGGCATGGGGGCGGCTTCTGTGCAGAGGGCCTCTGCCCCGGGAGGACTCTGCCCCGGGAGGACTGTGCCCCGGGAGGACTCTGCCCGGGGAGGACTGTGTCCGGAGGGGAGGACCGTGCCTGGGGAGGTCTGTGCCCTGGGAGGACTGTGCCCGGGGAGGACTGTGTCCGGAGGGGAGGACCGTGCCTGGGGAGGACTGTGCCCGGGGAGGACTGTGCCCCCAGGAGGATTGTGTCCGGGGAGGACTGTGCCCATGGAGGAGGACTGTGCCCCAGGGAGGACTGTGCCTCGGGGCGGAGGACTGTGCCTGGGAGGACTGTGCCCAGGGAGGACTGTGCCCACAGGAGGATTGTGTCCGGGGAGGACTGTGCCTGGGAGGACTGTGCCTTGGGGAGGACTGTGCCTCAGGGCGGAGGACTGTGCCCCAGGGAGGACTGTGCCTCGGGGCGGAGGACTGTGCCTGGGAGGACTGTGCCCCGGGAGGACTGTGCCCCCAGGAGGATTGTGTCCGGGGAGGACTGTGCCCAGGGAGGAGGACTGTGCCCCGGGAGGACTGTGCCCCGGGGAGGACTGTGCCTGGGAGGACTGTGCCTGGGAGGACTGTGCCCAGGGAGGAGGACTGTGCCCAGGGAGGAGGACTGTGCCTTGGGGAGGACTGTGCCTCAGGGCGGAGGACTGTGCCCGGGGAGGACTGTGCCTCGGGGCGGAGGACTGTGCCTGGGAGGACTGTGCCCCGGGAGGACTGTGCCCCGGGGAGGACCATGTCTGGGGGAGGATGGTTCCTGGCTGCTTGGGAGCAGGGCCAGCTCAGCAGGCATGGCCGGGTGTGCGCGGGTGGGAATCAGGGCCCAGCAGTCCCTCTCTCGCTCAGGAAAGGGGGCTTGAGCTCCCCTAGGCGAGGCTCCCGCTGTCCTGGGGGCTCAGCAGTCCGAGCCCAAGCCAGATGGGGAGACCGGACCCTCGGGCCTGGCCGTCTGTTCTGCGTGTTGCCATTAGGAAAGGGTCCCCTGTCCCTTATCCTGTGTGGCCTCCCCAACTGCCCTTTCCTGCCAGCCGGGTCACCCCTTAACGGAGCCCCAGGGAGAGTCGCTCGGAGTGTGTCTGGGAGGGACAGACTATGGCTCCACTTTTCCCTTCATTCCTTGGCGATCCGGGAACTAAGACAAAGCGGGCTGCACGCGCTTCGTGTGGCATCTCCATGATGCCGGGACCTGCACGGTGTCGGGAGGAACAGGCCGGGCCGGGGGGAGTGGCGTGGGCCACGGCCGTCCCTCAGGGAAAGGTGCGCCTCGGGGAGCGGTCTCCGGCGCGCTGACGGGAGACCTTCCGCCGTGGGCCCTTTTTGCAGTGCTCCTCTGGGTCTGTCTCCTGCAGAATCCCAGTCTTCCCTGAGCCTGCCTTGTGTACTTTTACTACTGCTGTCAGACCTCAGCCGTGTTAAATAAACCCCATCGATTTCAAACTGCTCCAGGCACCTGCTGTGTCTGGGAGAGAAGAAGGAAGGTGCCAGAGGTGGGAGAGGAGTTGAGGAATGCCAGCGGGGAGAACGACCGAGCGCTCCGGGTTTCCAGGGAATAAAGCTCGGTTTAGTGACTCGGGCATTTCATAGGCAGACTGGAGGGCTGATGCACGAAGCTGTGCAAGGGGCCCAGCCCTCGCAGCCCCAGCTTCATCCCAGAAGGTCGTTTGGCTGTCTGGTCTAATTCGCTTCTGTTATTACAGACTAGAGGCCCAGTGCACAGAATTTGTGAAGCCAGTCTGCCCCCTCTCCAATCTGGGAGTCCTCGAGGGATGTCCGACCTCCCGATTAGGCCCAATCCTAGTAGGATCAGGTCTAATCGGGCAATCCAGGACTGCTGGCTCCCAACTGCTCATCTGCCTGCCTTCCTGATCGCCCCTAACTGCTTCTGCCTGCCAGCCTGATCACCCCCTAACCACTCCCCTGCCAGCCTGATAGATACCTAACTGCTCCCCTGCCATCCCGATTGCCCCTGCTGGCCTGGTCATTGCTAACTGCCCTCCCCTGCAAATCTGGTCTCGCCAACGGCCCTTTCCTGCCAACCGGGTCACCCCTTAACTGAGCACAAGCCAGATGGGTGGGACCGGACCCTTTGGGTCTGACCCCTTCCTCCCCCCTTCTGCCAGCCTCATCACCACTGCTGGTCTGCCCCTCACCCCCAACTGCCCTCCTTTGCAGGCCTGGGTCCATTCAAACTGCCCTCCCCTGCAGGCCTGGTCCCCCCAGCTGCCCTCTTCTGTAGGCCTGGTCTCCCCCAACTGCTCTCCCTTGCAGGCCTGGGTTTCCCCTAACTTCCCTTCCCTGTAGGCCAGATCGCCTCCAACTTCCTTTCTCTGCTGGCTTGGTCACCCCTAACTAAAATCCCCTGCAGGCTTGATCGCCCCCAACTGCCCTCCCTTGCAGGCCTGGTCCCTCCCCTGCTGGCCATCTTGTGGTGGCCATCCTGTGTCCACATGGGGACAGCCATCTTTGAGCATATGGGCAGCCATCTTGTATGTTGGAGTGACATTCCATTTGCATGTTACTCTCTTATTAGCTAGGATGAGCCTTAGTGGAGTGTGTGAACTGGAGAACGTGCTCACGTGGTTTGGAAACTTTTTGTCCTCCTGCTTGGATCGTAAGCTTTCGATGGTAGGAAAGAACGGAAGGGACTTGTTCTTAGGTGCGTGCAAAGGCTCCGGGCACAGTTCGGTCTAAAATCGCAGGCTGGAAAAGTCCATGCGTTCCATTAGCAGCGACACTGAGATGTAGGCTGTGGTCGTTCCTTCACAGAATCCAGTGGGGGGGGCGGCATAGAGGTCCCTGTGTGTTTCTGAGGGGTCCACCGCGGGGGACCCAGGCCGTCCTGTCCCTGTGGGCCCTGGGCAGACGGGTGGCAGTGACCCAGGAGCCAGAGCCTGCAGCTCCTGCCCAGTCCCCGGCCCCCCAGGATGCTGGCATCTGGGGAGGGGCTGGTTTGTTTGCCAGGTTCACTGCCTCCTGCCCGAGTTGGAGAGAGTACCTTTCAGGGCTCCTTTCCAGGCGGAAGGAAAAAACCCCACCCACACAGGCACCGGCCCAGCCTCACGGGCTGCTGTTTTCGAATAGCGGCCGAGTGTCTGGGCCCTGCCTGCCTGGCTGGCTGCATTGTTCTTTACTCTCCGAGCGATTCCTCTAGGTTTTCCAAGCTCTCTGTCCTCGCGTACCAATTATCCGTTTTACACGCGGCTGTGTAGAATGCTGGCCGTTTTCTTCCGCGAGAGCATGCTTGTAATTGGAGGTCCCATAAAAGTTATGGGAGGCATTAAATGGTGTTTAAAAGGCGTTCAGTGTTACCACGGCGGTGAAATACACAGAGGCAGGCTCTCCGTCAGGTACCGATGACTGGCTGTCCACCAGGCTTGCCTTTTCCCGATTTCCGCCCGCAGAGTGGAAAGGGTTTAGAGCCCTGCCAGTGTGGCTCAGTGGTTGAGCGCTGACCTGTGAACCAGGAGGTCACGGTTGGATTCCTGGTTGGGGCACAGGCCCGGGTTGCAGACTCGGTCCCCAGTGTGGGGTGTGTAGGAGACAGCCCATCAATGAGTCTCATCCTCGGTGTTTCTCTTTCTCCCTCTCCCTTCCTCTTTGAAATCAATAAGAATATATCTTAAAAAAAATGTTCAGAGAGCCTTGGGTAGAATAGAAATGTTTGGTGACCATTGACTAAAATGCAAATTCTCTTTACTTCTGTTTTAAGGCTTCAAACATCCTATCTAGTAAAGAGGGAATATGCTAATGTACTGTCACACCTTCACAAAGATGGAGGTGCCCACAGCCAATAAGGAGGGAATATGCTAATGGACTGTCACACCTTCACAAAGATGGAGGTGCCCACAGCCAATAAGGAGGGAATATGCTAATGGACTGCCGCACTTTCACAAAGATGGAGGTGCCCACAGCCAATAAGGAGGGAATATGCTAATGGACTGTCACACCTTCACAAAGATGGAGGTGCCCACAGCCAATAAGGAGGGAATATGCTAATGGACTGTCACACCTTCACAAAGATGGAGGTGCCCACAGCCAATAAGGAGGGAATATGCTAATGGACTGTCACACTTTCACAAAGATGGAGGTGCCCACAGCCAATAAGGAGGGAATATGCTAATGGACTGTCACACTTTCACAAAGATGGAGGTGCCCACAGCCAATAAGGAGGGAATATGCTAATGGACTGCCATGCCCTCAAAGATGGCAGCGCCCACAGCCACAAGATGGTGGAGCCCAGTCCCCTCAGCCCTGCAGGGGCAGCAGGCCCGCAGCATGGCTGGGCCCAACCCCGGGCAGATCTGGCCATTCCCGGAGCCTGCCTCCGGAGTCTCCCGGTCCCCAGTCCCCCAGCCCCCCGTCGCCCAGGGCCAGCCTGAGGCACAGGCAAACCTCGGATGGCGGGGGCGGGGGCCGCACGGGGGAGCGGGACTGTTCGGGGCCAGATTTAGACATGTTTGCTTTGGGCTGGGGGGTCGCCATGACAGCGAACACTGTATGACCTTCTGGGGAGGTGGTGGCTGGAGGTGGTGGCCGGTCGGAGGGGCTTCCGGTTCGGGGGGGACTCTGCTGGTAATGACCGCCGGGAAGGACCGGTGCCCGGAGGCTGGCGCGATGCAGGACGCCTGTCAGGACACCCTTCAGTCATTAAGAACTAAGTCCTTCAGATTCCACGGGAGCCTCAGACGCTGTGCAGGGTCCCGAAATGGATCTGAGAGGAGCGAGTGCACCCCCTCCCCCCACC